GCTCTCTGTCTTTGGGCCTCCCTGCCCCTGATTCTCTGATTTCTCCTTTTCTACTGGATCCTTGGCATTTCTAGTACGTTCCATCCTTTAAAAAAATATATTCACCTTTGGTTCCGTATCGCCCTTAGGCCACACACCTCCCCCACTCCTTCCATGGTGCGCCATCATTGTGGGTTGCTTCCTTGTTCCCTGGGGCTCCCCAGTCATCCTCCACCAGCTCCTCTTCCGTCAACCTTTCCGTCTCCGGGTGTGCAGGACTCCCTGGTCTCAGACCCCTCCACCCTCCCCCGCAAGTTTCTCCTCTGAGTTCCAGATGTATGTCCAAGTGCCTCTGAGGTCCCATCACAGAGATGGCTCATGGGCATCTCAGAGCACGGCCTACATTCATCCAAAGCTTCTCCCAGACATGTGTCCCTCCTCTCCTGTTCTCATGCTCAGCAGGTGGACTCCATGCCACCGGGTCACAGGGTCACAAGCCTGAGGTCAAGAAGTCCTTCTTGGAACTAGAAGTTTCCTTCTCTCTCCATATGCATGCCTTCCTACGCATGACCACATTATAAATCAGATATACATAGAAGCACTCGATCTCATTTGATCACTCATTACCTTGCTTTATGAGTTGTGTAGGCCTGTGGTAAAAAAAAAAAAAAAAAAGCATAATTAGATTATCCTCTCTGCCTCCCCTGGCTTGCCTTTTGTGGACTTCCCTGTATGTCATGGCATATGTCCTTTACACATTCTCCCTGACTGCTGTCTTATGTTGTTCTCCACCTCTAATTTCTAATTATCTTTCCCAGGGTTATTGGCTACACATTTACTTTTCATTTGCTGCTTCTCTTAATCCCTTTTGTCTCATTGTTTGTTTCCCTTGTTCCTTCTCTGGCCTCCTCCTCTCCATGCACTTCCACTACACTAATTTTATACTTCTGTATTAGATAGCTGATTCAAAAACTATGAATCTGGTCATGCGACTGGCCCTTGCTCAAAAAACTGTCTAGACTTTGATTCTGTCATGCAGGACCCCTCTCAGCTTTTATGACAGTGGCTCAGGAGGGCCTCTATATCAGTGATTGGGGTTTATTTTTCTTTTTTTTCTTTCTTTTTTTTTTTTTTTTTTTTGTTGTTGTTGTTTTCATAGTTTTTTTTGTTCACACAGGCTAAGCCTCATGTTGGTTCTGGAGAATACTGTTTTAGCTTTTCCCATGTTTGTGCTGGGGCAGTCATGTTACAAGGGTTAGGACCGAATTGCCACGGGCTGATGTGGAGAAAAATGGATCTGGATGTGTTTATGTGTTTGTTTTTCGGAGGTAGAATAACATTGTAATTGCTACTGCACGACAATTGCTGTTGCACGCAGCTGAAGAAAGGAACAAGGTGGAGAAACGAAATACTGCTGGACTTCACCACGCCCCATTAGTGAGAGATTCATCACACTACAAAGGAGTGACGCTTCAATCCAGGTGGTTACAATAAGAATAATTAGTCCTGTTCATTTGGATTTTTTTTTTTTTTTTTTATGCCTCTACTTTTTATGGTTTTTCTATTCTTTTTTTTTTTTTTGACTTAACTTTATTTTTTTATTTCTTAAGATGTACATCCAAATTAGTTAGTATATAGTGAAGCAATGATTTCAGTAGATTCCCTTTGCGCCCCCCACCTGTTTGTATTTCCATCCTCCTCACTCACACTTCTCCAGCAACCCTGGGGCTCCTGCCTCCTCCATTTATGAGTCTCTTCTATGTTTTGTCCTCCTGTTTTTGAGTTATAGCATTATTTTTGCTTCTCTCTTCCCTTGCTGCCCGCCTGTTTGTTTTGTCTCCTCCTCTCTTAAAGTCCTCATAGGGAGGAAGGATATGATTTTGTCTTCTCTTGATCACCTTTTTAGTATAATACCTCCAGTTCCAATTTGTATCGTGAGGTAGTTGCAAATGGCAAGATTTCATTCTTTCTGATTGCCGAGTAATACTCTGTTGCATATATATACCACATTTTCTTTATCCATTCATCCACCGATAGACATTTGGGCTCTTTCCATACTTTGGCTATTCTCGATAGTGCGGCTATAAACATTGGGGTGCGTATGCCCCTTCGAAACAGCACACCTGTATCCCTTGGATAAATGCCTAGTAGTGCAATTGCTGGGTCGTAGGGGAGTTCTATTTTTAGTTTTTTGAGGAACCTCCATCCTGTTTTCCAGAGTGGCTGCACCAGCTTGCATTCCCACCAACAACGCAAAAGAGATCCTCTTTCTCCTCATCCTCACCAACATCTGTTGTTGCCTGAGTTGTTAATGTGAGCCATTCTGACAGGTGTAAGGTGGTATCTCATGGTGGTTTTGATTTGTATTTCCCTGATGATGAGTGATGTGGAGCATCTTTTCATGTGTCGGTTGGCCGTCTGTATGTCTTCTTTGGAGAAGTATTACTTTTGCTTGTATTCTTAAGTTTGGCTTTCTAGTTCTGTGATTATGGTTCGCAAGGAAGGAAGGGGATACCTAGTTCTGGGTATCACTGTGCTGTGATATACGTGTTCTGTCATATTCTCCACATTACCTAGCAGTAACTCAGTTCTGAGACGGTCTACCTGGAGATGATGTCTCATCCCACAGGTTAAGGGCTCAGTCCCCCAAGACTGCCGTCTCCGTGTTCCCCACCCCCCACTTCAGGTACCAGTCACAATTCCGAGTTGTCACCTGTGCTGCTGATTCGACGGGCTATAGATTGGAGGTTCCAACGGATCCACTCCTTTGTTTGATTAATTTGCTAGAGTGGCTCACAGAACTCAGGAAACCAGTTTCCTTACTGGATTACCGGTTTATTATAAAAGGATATGACTCAGAAAGAGCTGGAAGAGATGGGTAGGATGAGATCTGGGGAAAAGGCCATCGGCTTCCCTCCAAGGGTTCACCAATCCGGAAGCTGCCGGAACAGCATCTCCCACCCCCATTTTCGTGGATTTCTATGCCAGCTTCATCACTGAGGCATGAATGATTAAATCACTGACTATGGGTATTGAATTCAATCTCTTGCCCCTCTCCCCTCCCCGAAGGCCAGTGGTGGGGGGAGGAATTGAAAGTCCCAACCTTCTAATTCTGTTATTGGCTCTCCTGTCAACCAGCCCCGCCCAGTCTTTGGTTACCTGGGTGCTTTCCAAAAGTCACCTCATTAACATAACAAATGACATCTTTATTGCTGTCGTCATTTAGGAAATTCCAAGTGTGTTAGGAGCTCTGTCAAAAAGGAGGATGAGGACCCAATATATATTATAATAAATAATCACACTATCACACGTATTTAGCATGTATATTATATGCTGCATAGATAATAATGATGGTTAACTTGAAAATGTCTGGATTGGGGATGATTGGTGATCTTCCTCACCACCCTACTCCCTTATTTAATGTTTGTTTGTTTCTTTAGAGAAAGAGTGAATAAGGAGGGGGCGGGGGAGAGAATCCCAAGCAGGCTCCCTGCCGTCAGCCCAGAGCCTGACTCAAGGCTCGAACTCACAAACCTGTGAGATCACGACTGGAGCTGAAATCAAGAGTCGGACACTTACCCAGCGGAGCCACCCAGGCGCCCCTCTATTAAAAGAACTACTTGACCGGACAGCAGTGACCTCTCAGTGGGGCCCTACTGTCCTCCCTTCAGTCCCCTGGACTTTGGCCCTGCTGGCTGCTTTTCCTTCCTCCAGGGCACTGAGCAGGGTCCTCCCGTGGGTCTCCCCGCTCTCCCTTCAATTTTCACCCACTTGTCTCCTGTGCATGTTTTCATTTTTTGGTCTCCCTACCTATCAGTGTGCGGCCCGACCCTCCTGCTCCCCCAAAAAAGGTCTTTACTGAGCCCTTACCGTCCACCTAAATCTGAACTTTCCTGTCCTCTGGGACACTTGTGACTCCTTGCTCGGTATCTTTGTGCTGCTAGATCACAGACAGACTGTGCCATTTCGCGCATCCGTGCTTTCTGAGCCCTGAGTGCAGCCTGACACGTAGCAGGTGCGCAGATGTTTAAGGAGGGAAGGAATTACCTGCAGAGATGCTCTTCCTCCATTGCTTCGAAGATTACCTTGGTTTGACCCTCAATAAACTTTTCACCTCACAGGCAGGGGCGGGAGGAGGAGGAGGGAGAAGTGGAGGGGGGGGGAGTGTTCCTTAAAGGTGTATGACCTGCGGAGAGTCCTGTCACCTTGTGATCAGGTTACCTTTACCCTCTGCCTTGTTCAGGTAACACTTCCGTGGCTCCGTATATGGTAGCCCCCACCTGTCCCCTCCTGCTCCGGTCCTCTCTGAATTTTGTGAAACTGCTTTCAAGAGTAGCAGTTCCCAAACCTGGCCTCATGGTAGAATCCTCTGGAAATTTTAATTTTTTTTTTAATTTTAATTTTTTTTTTAACTTTATTTATTTTGACAGAGACAGAGTGCAAGTGGGGGAGGGGGAGGGAGAGAGAGGGAGACAGAGAATCCCAAGTCGGCTCCACGCTGCCAACGCAGAGCCCGATGCGGGGCTCAAACCCACGAGACCGGGAGATCATGACCTGAGCTGAAACCAAGAGTCGGGCGGGTCACCGACTGAGCCACCCAGGCGCCCCTGGAAATTTTTAAAAAATACCGACAGTTGAGTTCTACGCCTCACGGTTCAGGTTAGAGGTGTATTAGGTGTTTCTGATGTGCAACCAAGTTTGAGAACTGTGGTCACAGAGCACCGTTCAAGTCGGGGTTTTATTTTGTTTCAAGATTTAATTCTGTGCCAAAAAAGATGTACTTAAAGAAGGTGCTTGAAAAAAGTATGCTAGAGTGAGAAAAAATGTGACCGCAGATTGCTATAGATCGATATCCATGACTGGTTCATGGCAGTGAGAGTCTTGGGTTTTCTTCTCTTTGACCAAGTCTCGCTCTTGAATTTGAACCGTATCTGCTCTGTGATCGAATCTTTAACGTGTTATATTTGTCAGGGTAAGCTAATGGCTGTAACAAACAGCGCCCCCCGCCCCCCCAATCTCAGGAACGTTACACAGGAATGCTTTACTTCTTGCTCATTTTGCAGCCCCACAAGGGAAGGTAAGAGACTTGACTTTATTCTGCGTGTCATTTTGTTTAGAGATGTGTCAACCCTGAGGGCACCCAGGTGGTGGGCAAAGAATGCAGGACAAAGAAATGCATTTGGGGAACACGTGACATCATTTCTGTCTCATACGTTTTAACTAGAGAACTTGGTTTTTTAAGTTCTGTGTGTGTGTGTGTGTGTGTGTGTGTGTGTAATAGAGTCAACAACTAGATAGATGTATATATATATTTTTTCAAATGCCAAGAATTACTTAAATCTCTTCTTGCAGTTTTTCTCTCTTAGTTTATGTCATTCATTCAGTGCTTGACTGCTGAATGCCCTCTGTGTGCCAGACCCTGGTCTAGACAGGTGCCAGTGACGTGAAGATGTGCGTACTAGCAAGATTCTGGTTGTTGGTAACAGAAAACCCAGCCGAAGTTGTCGCAACTCAGATAACACCGGGCAGGGCAGTTTCGGGTCTGGGGATTCAGCCACGCCCGCCGGCCCTTCTCTGATTTTCTTGGCTTTTGCTTTATTGTCCCGAGATAGGTGTGGATTCCCAGGTACTGTCTGCAGCAGGGGGGAGGTCTCTGCCTGGTGTCTCTTGTGTGTACACAAAGCCCCTCCACGAGCCCTTAGCACGGTCGACATGAAGTCTCTCTGGCTGGAGTCCTCGCACCTGCCCGTGATCTACCCTGTCACTTACAGAGGGAACTGTGTTACTGAGAGTTGCCTAGACCAGTGTAGATTCCCCGTGGGTCTGTGGGACCCAGCCGGACGTGGCTGTTGTCATCTCTGAGTCATTCCCTTTCCTTTATTACGTGTGGTTAATCATTTCCCATTTCAGCAAAATTCCTCTTGTGTAACTTCCCAGATCGTGGCACTCAACGAGGGCAGCTTTTTCAGGACCACGCGGAGCTCATCCGTGTATCTCGCCCACTTAGCAGTTACGAAGGCGCTGCTTTGATACATTGTTGGTGTTGCTCTTCTGTTGCTTAGACCTTTAGTTGACTTTTCTTATAAGTTCCCTGCCTTTGGCTACTTCTGTTCTCCCCAAAGTACCGGACATGGTGCCTTACACAAAATTGAGTTTCTCCTTTTAAATCCCTGATCTCCATGCCTGCTTGTCCATATCCGGCGGGGCTGAGCTTGTCCGGGACGTGACCACCAGCAACAGCTGATCTCCCGAGAGCCCTTGCGCTCCTTCTGGAGCATTACCTCCAGAGCTGTGTTCCTTCCAGGCCACCTCGATGAGCTTAGTCTTCGCCGTCTGTCTCCTGTCTCCGGCGGTTGGCTCTGAGCCATCAAACTGGATCCTGTGGGCTCTCTCTCTCTCTCTCTCTCTCTCTCTGCCGCCTCTGATCTCAGTGCAGCTGACCCAACCAGAATCCTGCCCCTCTGTGGGTCTTCCCGAGCTCATCTGGCCCTGGTGCCCAACTCTTTCCCTTTCCTCTCCATGGGACTCATGTTTGCCGGTCCGTTAAGGTGCAACTTGAACCTTGTTTACTTCTCTCACCGGCCTCCCCTCCCCGTGTGCTGCTGCGTTCCCTGGCCCTTAATTGTCACGAAAGCGTGATCTCTGCAGGATGTTGGACCCAGACCTGGCGTTACATCCTGGCTCAGACGCTTAGCCGCTGCCTCCCTCGTAGGACTATTGCGAAAGCGATGATACAATGATTCACTGTGGGTCGAGTACCTGTGGGGTACCCTTGTCCCCTTCAATCATATTTATGAATAATTGCATTTTTGTGCATATTTATTTGCCTGCTTTCAGTTCCCCAGAATGACGTTGTTGGTGTGCCTGTTCATGTGACGAGCACTTAATACCAAGTGCCTGTCACCAGCACCAGAGGTGCTGTGGAGATGGCTGGGGACGCTCGAGTGACCAAAGCAGAGATCCTTGCTCATTTCAGGGCCTCTCTGGAAGGATAGGCGCCTTCCAGCCTCTTACCTTAACTTAGTGGGGGTGGTTCCGTTTACTTCCGACGCCACAGAGGCCTTTGCAAGTGCCAGAAACGGTGTGGCCAAGAGCTTTCCCTGCCCTTCAGCTTGCCTCGTGGGACCGACACTTCGACCTCTGTTTTCCCGCCTTCCAACAGGTGTTCTGTGGACAAACTGGAGGGACGTGGGTCAAACTGAGTTTCGTTTCTTTTTTGGTTGGTTGGTTGTTTCTCCTTGTAATTAGAAGCCCAAGCTTGTGCATTTTGTTTTGCAGCGGCGAAAGTGGGGCAGGGAAAACCGAAAGCACCAAATTGATCCTCAAGTTTTTATCGGTCATCAGTCAACAGTCTTTGGAACTATCCTTAAAAGAGAAGACATCCTGTGTCGAACAAGCTATCCTCGAAAGCAGGTATGTCGGGATCATGTTCCTTCTTTCAGATAAATAGGATTTACTGTCCTCCCTGTTGGCGAATTTAAGGATGCGTTAGAATCAGTGGGTCTGTTTTCTCTTTTTCTTCTCTTTTACAATTCCTCGAGAAGTCCCAGCATGCACATAGCAGTTTCCAATAACCTGACCTGTCTCCCCTGCTGCCCCCCATCCCCACCCCTGGGCCAGGTTGGAGGTGGTGACTAAGTGATTCGGAGGAACGTTCTGTAGCCTCCTCTTACAGCGAGCCCTCGACTCGCTTTTGTGGAGGCCTTGTGATGGGCAGAAATTTCAGCCTCTGGCCACTGTGTAACAGAGGACTTAGCACAGCGGTGAGGGAGCCTCTGCTCAACATCCAGCCCTGTGGAGGCACCATGTTGGCAAGATGGCATTTTTTACAAATTTGTTTAATGTTTATTATTTTTTTTTAATACATTTTTTTTTTCAACGTTTATTTATTTTTGGGACAGAGAGAGACAGAGCATGAACGGGGGAAAGGCAGAGAGAGGGGGAGACACAGAACTGGAAGCAGGCTCCAGGCTCTGAGCCATCAGCCCAGAGCCCGACGCGGGGCTCGAACTCACAGACCGCGAGATCGTGACCTGGCTGAAGTCAGACGCTTAACCTACTGCACCACCCAGGCGCCCCTGTTTAATGTTTATTTATTGTTGAGAGACAGAGCATGATCATGGGAGGGGAAACGAGGGGGAGAGACACAGAATCCGAAGCAGGCTCCAGGCTCCGAGCTGTCAGCACAGGGTCCGACGCGGGGCTCGAACTCGCAAACCGCGAGATCATGACCTGAGCCGAAGTTGGACGCTCAACCGACTGAGCCACCCAGGCGCCCCAAGATGGCATTTTTGTAGCCTCCCACGTGGCAGAAGGTCACTGAGACCTTTGATGGCAGCGAGCCTTTGAAAGAGGGCTGTGTGGGGAGGTATCCTCTGAATTTTTATTTTATTTTTTTATGTTTATTATTGAGAGAGGGAGAGAGAGAAAGAGCGTGAGTGGGGGAGGGACAGAGTGAGAGGGACACACAGAATCCAAAGCAGGCTCCAGGCTCTGAGCTGTTAGCACAGAGCCCCAGGCGGGGCTCAGACCCACAAACTACAAGATCATGACCTGAGCTGAAGCTGGACGCTTAACCTACTGAGCCCCCCAGGCGCCCCTGCATTTTTATTTTAAATGTGCACTTGCCAAACATCTGATTTGTGCCTTATAAGATTTTAGAACCAATAAGGACTTCACAGATTCTATTACTTAGATTTTAGTCCCGGGGTCAGCACACTACAGCCAGATGCCCATAACCTGTGGCCTGTTTTTGTTTTAGCATTCATACCCTTTTTTCCGGTGTCGTAAAATATACATAACGTTTATAACTTTAAACATTTTTTTTCAGCGTGCAGCTTAGTGGTGTTAAGTGCATTCATGTTGTGCAACCATCACCACCATCCATCTTCAGAACGTTTTCATCTTCCTGCAGCCTGTTTTGTAAATAAAGTTTTATTGGAACACAGACACGCTCATTTGTTTCTCTATTGCTGATAACTGCTTTCAAGCTACAGTGGCAGAACTGAGTGCTTGCAACAGAGACCGCAGGCCCCTAAAAGATCTATTACCTGGTTCTTGACAGAAAGTTTTCCACCTCCTGACTGGTCTGACCCCATTTTACAGGTGGAGAAGACGCAAAGAAGTTACTGATAAATGAGTTGCTCCAAGACAGACAACAGATGGGTGAAATGCCCAGGACTGGGACTTTTTCAGTTGCCAAAATTTAAGTGGGGGTCTTCTCCTGCGCGATCCCTGGCTTATGTACATAAGCCCAAGTTAATTTGTGCGAGATCGGACCGTAGTGACTCCCTGAGCTCCAGTATCCTGCGCCTGCACGAGCTGTAAGATCTCTCGTTCAAAATGATGAGGATCATAAACCCATTGCAGCAGGGGCTTTGGAAAGCTGGCTCTTCTGTAAATAAACCTAGTCACTGTGGGTCCCGTTGCTTTCAGATTTGTCTCGCAGTTGAATATTTAGACAATTGGTGAGGAATGCTCTTGCAGTTTTTAGACCTACCCTAATTAACACTTGCTGCGGTCCTCGCATCTTCTTTTTAAATTTTTTTTATGGGGGCTCCTGGGTGGCTCAGTTGGTTAAGTGTCCGACTTTGGCTCAGGTTATGATCTCGCGGTTCGTGAGTTCAAGCCCCGCATCGGGCTCTGTGCTGACAGCTCAGAGCCTGGAGCCTGCTTCGGATTCTGCGTCTCCCTCTCTCTCTGCCCCTTCCCGGTTCATGCTCTGTCTCTCTCTGTCTCGAAAATAAAACATTTAAAAAAAAAAAAATTAAAAAAAAAATTTTTTTTTTTATGGAGTATAATGACGTACCATGTCCCGTTAGTTGCGTGTATCACAGTGACTAGGTTTTCTGTGCGTGATGAGATGATCCCGGCGGTAAGTGTCCTTGCCGGCTGTCACCGTGCGCGGGCACTGCGATATTACCGACATAGAGCCGGTGTGCCGAAATTGACATCTCGTGACTTGTTTATTTGATAACGAAGCTGTCCTCACTTCTGTCACAGCCCCATCATGGAAGCTTTCGGCAACGCGAAGACCGTGTACAACAACAACTCCAGTCGCTTTGGGAAGTTTGTTCAGCTGAACATCTGCCAGCGGGGGAATATTCAGGGCGGGAGAATTGTAGATTGTATCCTGTTTCTTGTGGTTCTTGTTTTGAGTATTTGACTCTGTAAGAGGACGAACTGTTCTTGGTCACCACAAGGGCAGTTAAAGAATGTGACACATTCCAGGTTTTGCTCTAATATTACCCTGTTGGACCTATTAATTACCCTAGGAGAACCATCTTTCTTTCGGAAACTTCGATACCGTCTGTAATCAGGAAAATTGGAATCCTCACCAAGCGTCAGGCTTTTTTGTTTGGGATGAATTCTGTCAAATAGTGTGGCACCTCCGAGGAGGTCATGTGTCCTGTTCGAATTGGATTTAGGTGAAATAGCCTGTGCTTTGTTGGCTTGTCTCTTGGCATTGGAGGTCTCTGTGTCAAAGAGCAGGGGTTTGTTTTTATTTTATTTTATTTTATTTTTTTAATGTTTATTTTTGAGAGAGAGGGAGAGGGAGAGACAGAGTGCAAGTCGGGGAGGGACAGAGAGAGAGGGAGACCCAGAATCTGAAGCGGGCTCCAGGCTCTGAGCCGTCAGCACAGAGCCTGACGCGGGGCGTGAACTGACAAACTGAGAGACCATGACCTGAGCCGAAGTCGGCTGCTTGACTGGCTGAGCCACCTAGGTGCCCAGAGAGCAAGGATTTGTCATTATTTGGGTCACAAAGACTAGAAAATTGAAGGGTAATTGAGCATGTGATCTCCTTGTTTTGTTCCTTGACTTGCCATTGCTTTTCGCATGAAGATTTATTAGAAAAAGTAAGTAAACGTTTAATTCACATTTTCTTCTGTAGTAATGATCTTTGGAAATTACTGGTTTGTGCTCACTAAACAGAGGAAACCTCTCTGAGTCGAAATCTGATTTCTCTCCACAGAACCGAGTAGTAAGGCAAAACCCCGGGGAAAGGAATTATCACATATTCTATGCACTGCTGGCAGGGCTAGAACATGAACAGAGAGGTGAGTGGTGGGAGACCGGCGGGGAAACAGGGACTAGCAACTTGCCTTCCCTTGAAAAGCCGTCGGTAAACGCAAAAACTCTCTTTGGGCTTTGTTGGTGTTCCATCGATTGAAACAAAACGTAGGAGAGACAGGCCAAAAGATGCTGAGTCCATTTTAGAGCCAAATAACGTAGGGGGGAAATCATCAAAAGGGAAGTCTTAAATGTCTTGTTTGTTTTTGGAATCTTGAGACTTTTCCGACTTGTACAATATTGATGAGAAACTATATAACGCCTCGTAACTGGTTTACTCTTAAACCACACCCAAATAAAGCTGATTTCTAAACATTTGGTTTTTAAGAGAGAACAGCCAAGACAGGGTCCTCATCAGTTATTTTTTAAATAACATTTTCTATCATGCCATCTAATTTATTTATTTATTTATTTATTTATTTTAACGTTTATTTATTTTTTTGGGACAGAGAGAGACAGAGCATGAACGGGGGAGGGGCAGAGAGAGAGGGAGACACAGAATCAGAAACAGGCTCCAGGCTCTGAGCCATCAGCCCAGAGCCTGACGCGGGGCTCGAACTCACGGACCGCGAGATCGTGACCTGGCTGAAGTCGGACGCTTAACCGACTGCGCCACCCAGGCGCCCCCACGCCATCTAATTTAATGAAATTATTTTTGCTTTCTCTAGGTGGTGATTCAGAACTCTGTATTTTAATAGGGGGCTGTTAGCATAGAATTATTTATGTATTTTATCTTTTGAAGTTACAAAGTGAAAACTCTCTTGGACTCTGTCTTATCCTGGCCAGTCAAGTACTGATACTCCATTTTTCGTTGTCTTTTTGCAGAAGAATTTTATTTATCTGTGCCAGAAAACTACCACTACTTGAGTCAGTCTGGATGTGTAGAAGACAAGACAATCAGTGACCAGGAATCCTTTAGGGAAGTGATTGTAAGTTTCGTTGTTCTTTTGCCTTCTGAAGAGCGACGACCCCCTAGAAAAATAAGTGACACGTTTCATTTTCTGTTTCAAACAATATTTTGTTCATGAAGTAATTACATTTGCACCGCTGTGCGAGAACAGGTGCTTGCTTCTTTGTTCCCACTCATGATAAAGACTGTTCCAGACTGGAAGAGAATCCTCTTTCTTTAGAAGTTGGATGAATGTCTGTGACATTCAGGACAGATGGGAGGTTGACTTGGAACAGTCCACTAAAAATAAAAAAATCATAGGCTTGACGTTGGATCATGCCAAGCTTTCTTTTTTGAGCTTACAAATATATACATAATATATCATATTAAATATGTATATATTATATGTGTGTGTGTAGTTTTGTAATAACCATTTCCATGGCTAAAAACAAATCTCAATCATTAGACCAAGTAACTGTTAGGATCTTGTTTGTTTCTCTGCAAGAATAGTCACCTTATAACTCTGAGGTGTGGATAAGTGAGCGTCTTGTAGTTTTCTGATATCACAAGGACTTGTTATACGGTGACAACATTCAGGAAGCCTGGTTGTGGAACTTTATTAACAGCCCCACCTGACTGAGAGTGGCCGGTCGGTTTTGCTGATGTGGTTCTTCCAGCAATGCCAGAGTCACTGCTGTCCTAGCTGGAGACAGCGGATCGAGGGTGGAGTCACCATTGTCAGTGCAGCTGACATCGAGCACTTACCGTACGGACTTCCCCAGGCCATCTCTCTCATTGCTCTGAACCCTGAGGGTAGGAATCCCGGCTGTCTGCACCCTGCGACCCGGGGAGGTTGGTGACCAGCCTAACCACACACGGTACCTAATAGAGCTGGTGTGGAAAGTTTAACTCCAAAGACGCTAAACCACAAGGCAGGTCTGTGGTACCTGCTTTTGTCTGTCAGGTTCTTATCTTTACAGCTGTCAACGCTTCTCTCTTCACTATCCCCATTTGCTCTTCTAGATTCGTCATAAAAATGCCTTGTGGAATGAAACCAGGGTATTTTTTTTTTAATTTTTTTCAACGTTTATTTATTTTTGGGACAGAGAGAGACAGAGCATGAACGGGCGAGGGGCAGAGAGAGAGGGAGACACAGAATCGGAAACAGGCTCCAGGCTCTGAGCCATCAGCCCAGAGCCCGACGTGGGGCTCGAACTCACAGACCGCGAGATCGTGACCTGGCTGAAGTCGGACGCTTAACCGACTGCGCCAGCCAGGCGCCCCTAAACCAGGGTATTTTTTTTTTAAGTGAATGTATATCATAACATCATTTTTTCACGTCTTAAGTTGAAAATGAAATTAAAAACAGGATTGGCTCAAATATCAGGATCATCTTCCCTCTGTGGGTCTTTTATCTGTCATTTATAATGCAGGGGGCGGGGGGCTTGGACTTCTTTTGCCCAATCTCCTCTCTTGAACCTGTTTACAAAAAAAGCCCCCTGCTGAGGGTGCCTTTTTGCTGCGTAGGCTGGACAGCAGGGGATTTGGCCCTGTGAATTGGATTTTCCAAAATGTGTTTTAAGTATTTTAAGTTTTCTTTCCCAGTTTCATTTGGCCCCTGGATTTGTCACTACTCAGACTTCATCCCGTTTCAGTTCGTTTATTATTGTCTTTACTGTGTGTTCGAATAAATATAAAAACTCATTCTTATTTTTGGTGAAGAAAGACTTCTCTTGGGATTTTTTTTTTTCCTGTTTTCTTCTTTCTTGAAGCTGGAGAACCATGCTTTGTGATAGAAGGACGTTGTGGCAGAAGACAGATAATTATCCAAGAATGGCAGGTCTTGTACTGATTAGCTCGCTGGCCACTAGGGTGCACTGGGCATCAGTCCTCCCCTTGTTCTGGAAGTGCCCCTGAGAAGTTACTTCCTTGGCTTTCCTCTGCTTTCCTCTGGGGGCTTCGTTTTCTGATTGAGAATCGTTTGTTCTTTTTGTTAACTACTGGTAAACTTCTGAGGCTTGCCCTGCCTTCCGTGATTGCTGGCTCCTATTCTTTATTTGAAAGAGTAGGTTTTGGCCTTTAAAATCTGATCTTACGTTGGAAAGATCGTCTAGAAAGGAAGAAAAATTTGTACGTGAAATTGACAGAGAGGTATGCAACAAGCTTACAAGTATTCCATTTATGTATTTACAAGTATTCAATTTTATATATTTACATTGTGATTACTTTTTAGTGTCAACCTACCAGAAATGTAAAGGAAAACTTAGCTGCTAGTAAGTAAAATCAGGAACATGTAATTTTTACTATTATTTAACCTTCTGGAAGTTCTAAGCAATGCAGTCAGAAAAGAAAAACGATGTGCACCTTTTCAGAAAGGAGAAAAAATTCTCTTTTCTATAGCTAAACCTGCAAGAATCGCAAATTGGGGAATGGCTTAAATAATTTGTTATATTGGTGAAATAAGATCCATTACAGCAAGCAAAACATATTCAAGTATATTCAATTACATGGAAAATTTATTTTAAACCTGAGAAAGATAAGCTGCAACACTAGATAATCCTTTTATTTAAAAAACATTTTATGTATAATTTGATATATGATAATTCATATAGTAATTACGTGTGCAGAAAGAAGGCTGAGACAAAAATATACAAAAAATGTTCTCTCGTGAGGCAGAATTCTACAATCTTATTTTATCATTCTGTGTTATATTTTTACAGTAAATAGGCTGCCTTTTATGATTACCTAGTTATGATTATATTCCTAGAATCGTCATTTCTGTAATATGGGAATATAATCGTTAAGTATCCTATCAATGCCAGCCAGCCCACTATTCTGCCTTAGGCAGCACTCTGTAACCAGGAGTGACACAGGAATGGTTAAAAACTCCCCCAGGCATGCATGCTCTCTCTCTCTCTCTCTCTCTCTCTCTCTCTCTCTCTCTGAAACAAATTTTTTTTAAATAAAAAAATAAATTGGTATCTTCATATTTCAATTTCATGAAGCTTTTTTCCCAGAGGTTTTTGGACCAAAGGAAGGAAAGGAACCACATTCCGTTAAGCCTGAAGGACATTTGTTTGCATAATATGTTGAAATGTTCATGGAGAGAAATTGTTTCTGTGAATTCTGTATGAAAATGTCATTTCTGGTGTTCATTCTTAGCTACTAAAAAAAAATGATCCATCAACTTTAATGTCCGTATACTCTGGCAATAGGACCTTTTAAGAATTTTCTTTATTTTACTGAGAATTTGCTTTATGTATTTTTAGAGTTTATCATTGCCACCACTTGGCATGAATATAAATGAGTGCCTGTAAAGTATCATGGGAGCTATAGGGGACCTGTTTGGTTTTTTTTCACCCCTGGGGCAGACTCTGTGTTTCATAACCATTTGTTTATGCAGCCTTTCAAGTTGCCCTAGAAATTGCTTAGATGCAAGCTATTTCAAGTCAATGAGAGCAACTAATTTATTGTATTGCTTGCATTTGACCCACCAGAATGGGGGTGGATGAAATGTGTGAGAAATAACAGGAGTCTTTGGGTGATAATCTTTTCAGATTCTCTTATGCCACAAATGTTGAATATTTTTAGAGTGCTTGGCTGCGGACCAGGACTGGACCCAGCCTTACTGGCTATATCCATGGGTTTTTAGTTGTTTTGAGCCCATGTATATGTATACATAAATTCATTCCACATGAGTCCAATTTTATTAAGGCAGACTTTATACCTAATTGTGCCAAACATGAAAACTTCAGTCTCTTTCAGTGGTAGAGAACTTGGGAGCATAAGCAAATTTATATTATAAAATAACATAATATTGCCTCATAGAGCATTACATGATAAGTTATGATTTTTTTAAGATTTCATTTTTAAGTAATCTCTGCATCCAACGTGGGGCTTGAACTTACAACCCCAAGATCAAGAGTCATATGCTCTACTGACTGAGCCAGTCAGACTCCCCGTGATAAATTATTATCAGATTGTTTATTTGGAACTTACTATGGCCAGAATAGTCTCCACTTCCACCATTCCAGTGGCACCATTTGTTCAAGATTCATCTATGGCCCCTTTGCCTTCCGGAATGGCGTCTCCGCACCTCACAGCCAACTGCCTGAGACCCGGAGTGGATATACCTTTTGGCATCTGAAATTTGCCCCTCTTTTCTATTCATTTCCAGGGTGATGAGCCTGGCTTCCTTTGTCTCTTCATGGTTGGGACCAGATCACATATTTGTCATCCCCCCCACCCCCAACCCCCAGTTTCCCAAACACCTGTTTTTCTGTGTGCCTAATAAGGACGTTACTGAAAATATTCTGTGTAATTTTTTTGCCAGTTTCGTAACTAAATTGCTGCTCAGTGCTTCTGAACTATCCTGAGAATCTCCCAGCATGGTTTTTTGAGTCTTGAGCCCTACTGCTGAGAAAATAAGATCATTATAATAAGCTTTAAAGCGGCTACTCTTGGGGCGCCTGGGTGGCTCAGTCGATGGAGCGTCTGACGTCGGCTCAGGTCACGGTGTCGCAATTTGTGGGTTCGAGGCCCGCGTCAGGCTGACAACTTAGAGCCTGCAGCCTGCTTTGGACTCTGTGTCTCCGTCTCTTTGTGCCCCTTCCCCTCTCTCTCTCTCTCTCTCTCTCTCTCTCTCTCTCCCTCTCACACACACACACACACACTCTCTCTCTCTCTCTCTCTCTCTCTCTCTCTCTCTCTCAAAAATAAACATTAAAAAAAATTTTTTTTAAAGTGGCTCCTCTTGCCAAAGGGGTGGAGATTGTGACTAAAAAGATTTTAAACAAGACAATAGGACACAAGTAAAGGGTCTTGCCAGTAATTTTAGCATACATGTCCACATTACTGGTAATTGGTTGCACCCATTAAATTACCCCGTAGTATGATTAATATAATTATTCCTTATCACCATGCTCCTGACTCACTTAGGGTTAGATTGCAAGTAGTCAAATTTATTAATACCGTAAGCACATTTGATTCATTTGCTTTCATGTCTCCATGTATAACTTCTGTATGTATTTTAAGAACTTCGAGAATTTTTTCATGGGGCATCTCTCGATATTTTTCATTTGATAGCTTGACATTTTGTGCTACTGCAAACTTAGTATTTTTAAAGTCTTACTTCCTCTTAGTGTTATGTAGACTCCAAGTAGTTGATTTAAACAGTGAAGACTTACATTTCCATATCGTTCTATGATCTAAGAATTTTTATAAGTTAGTGTTGAATAGGTCTTATTAATATAGGAGGATAACTTTAACCATGGAGATGGAAAATACTAACTTTAGCACAGTGGAGGTGCTTTATAATTATTTTGCTATTTAGTTTGGTTCTTACCACCTTTTCAAGAGGCTTGAGAATAAGAAATTATTTGTATTCCCTAACTGTCATTCCTTTAACTTTTAGGATAAGTGAATTTGAATAATTTTCCATATATTTCTTTTTAATTGATAAGCACTTGACTAATTGTTTTTATTCTTTGTGTCAATTTCTGTTTGCACCCGTGAAATGAGTCTTCTCACCCCTGAGTAAATAAATAGTTTCCCTTAACGTGTTAAGATTACACCGTGGGGGATATTTTACAGAACTTCTTTTCTGTTGAGATTTTCTTTGTAGTAAATTTCTAGCATTGAAGTTATGGAAGATATTGCAGGAGATTGCGTTTTCTTTTTTAATGTCTTTAGAAAGTAATAGCATCTGGCTGGATAATAAGTTCGTGGACTCTGTGTTCGTGGGGCCCGATTTCGAATCTTGGCTGGGTAGCCCTGTGAGAGTTACTTAACCTCTCTGAACACTCAACAGTTACGCACATTTGTGGCCAACACAGTGCTACCATAGAGTCTCGTTTTCCCAAAAGATTATATTAACTTGTGTACTGGTGATCAGTGCATAAATGTCCCAGTTTCACCAGTTTTAGGTTTAACATCCACGAGTTTTTGGCTCATTTAATAGAAGTTATTATCCTGCATTTGCTCCAATAAGAAATGCCTGTTGCGTTGTTTTGCTCATGTGTCTTTTATTACAGCTTAAGCGGTGGCTCCTTCCCTTATAATTTTTAAATTTTCCTGCCTATTGTTGTTGCCCTTTGTTTTCCCTTTATTGTCGTCTCCTTAAAAAGAAGTTGCACTTCTCACATTTTTAAATCTCTGGTTGTTTCCTTGTCTAATTTTTGTTGCTTCAAAATGGCGCGTGGTTTCCTTCCTGGTCTCCCAAAGTGATTGTCGTTGTCGTAGTTATTACGTTGTGGGTCTGACGTAACCCCTGGTGGGTTATTTTCGTCAGTGTGGCCAACAGTCCTGCCCTCAGTTGGGGGCGAGGGGTGGTTTCTTCTTGACAAGCATGTGGCTTCTACATCACACTAGAAAATGGGCACATCTTGGGTGGGATTCAGAAGACGCCTGGCTTCCGCTGTCAGGATACTTGTATTTGGGGACAGACCTCGTCTCCTGTAGTCGCTGGTGTGTTTTTCTCCATTCGTCTGTTCCATGAGGATCTATTATAAAAGGAGCAGAGACTCTCCTGTCTACAGAGTTCCTAAGAAAGAATGTTATTCCCCCGATTTGAGTCCCTGCTGCATTTAACCGTCAAGGGAAGGCTCCAAAGTTTACGCTGGAGCAGCCCCATGAAGTCTCACCCTCACCCCACCAGTTCATGTGGAAGAAAATAAATGTTCCGTTATGCTTCAGTATGTACAGAAAAAGCATTTCCTTATCACTGTCATTACTGTGACTCTCTGAGGTGATTCTGCTGTGACATAACTGGGAAGCCTCTACATATAGTATCTCATTTTTCCCCATTGGTGGGGTGAGCGCTCCACATTCTACAGTTCTTTTTTCTTAATGTTTTTTTTAATTTCAATGTTTGTTTAACGTTTAAATATTTAGTTAGAAAGTGTGAGCAGGGGAGGGGCAGAGAGAGAGAGAGAGAGAGAGAAGAGAGGGAGAGTCCCAGGCAGGCTCTGCGTGGCCGTTGCAGAGCCCGACACGGGGCCACGTTGCTCGCACTATGAGATCGTGTCCTGAGCCGAAATCAAGAGCCGGGCGCTCAACCCACTGAGCCACCCCAGGTGCCCCTGCAGTTCTTCCCTAACATCACGTTATTTTCTGTGTGGCTCTGCAAGGTCTTTATCCCTTGAAATTGAGGGCCCGTGAGTCTGTTTCCTGGTTTCTTGCCTGTAGAACAATACCTGACACTTCTATTGAGCGGGGAGGTTTTCCTTTTCTTTAGTGTGGGGAAAACACCCGCAAAAAAATTGAACACAGTTACTGTCTTTCAGACGGCAATGGAAGTCATGCAGTTCAGCAAGGAAGAAGTTCGGGAAATTTTGAGGTTGCTTGCTGGTGTATTACATCTTGGGAACATAGAATTTATCACGGCTGGTGGGGCCCAGGTGTCCTTCAAAACGGGTAAGATGACCCCTGCCTTCCTCCCTTCCTCCCTTCCTTGGCTTTTTCCTCCTAGGGAACTTGGACCTAAAGTATTTACTATCCGCCCTTTTGCAGAAAGGGCTCTCTGAGCCCGGGAGAGAGAACTTTGTATTTGATGCGAATGATCAGCCGAGAAAGGGTCCAAGCATCTAAGAAGGGATTGCTGGGTGGCATGGTGGCTGTGTTCTCATTCTTACCAAGAAAAGAGGAAAATGGACCCGGTAAAGAAATGGGAGCAACCAGGATAAACGTTACGGGTCAGGGGCGTAGTGTCGCTGTAGTTTTTCGTAGTTCTTGAGTGGTGACGCATTGTAATGGTGAACCCTGTTTTCAAGCGTGACCGCTTGGCTCAGGGTCCAGCTCTGCCATAAGCTGGTTCCTTGGGTTATAACGTGTCCCCTCAACACCACTGACATCTGGTCTATAAAGTGCGGCCGTGTTGTCAAGATTAAACGAGCGAATATGCACATCGCAACGTCAGTAGTCACTTTCCAGAAGTAGTTGATGTGTTTACTCTTGAGACTTTCCTGATGGAAGCCACGTGTGAGGGCACAAGGGCTGGGGGAGGGGGGCAGATGAGTTAAAGTTTGAAGTGGCCTTAGATGAGGCCAGAGCTGTAGGTCAGCAGTTCTCACGCGTTTGGTCCCAGAGCGTCTCAATCATCTTCAAACCATAGAGGACTCCCCAGGGCTTTTTCCTTTATGTGGGTCATGTCTGTTCATGTTATCGCATTAGAAATAAAAACTGAGATGTCTTTGAAAATTAATTGTGCAATCACCATCAGAAGCCCCTTGCGTATTGAAATAAATAGTGTGTTTTTATTCAAAAGACTATCTTCCCAAACAGAAGAAAATCCGCGAGAAGAGCGACATTGGCTTACATTTTTTGCACATTTTGAAAATATCAGTGGTCGGGGAGGACAGCTGGGTTCTCTTACCTGCTACAGTCACTTTGGTGAGCTCCCTCATGTCATGCAGCCACTGGAAACTCCTCTGTATTGCGGTGATGGAATGAGAGTTAAAAGAAACAGCAAGCAACCTCTTCGGATCACTGAAAAGAGTTAGGACCTTGCAAACCTTTATGGCGGGGTCTTGGACCCGGGGTCTCAGGACCACACTTGGTCCGGGCGTCAGGCCACTCGCCTAAGACTCATCAAGGGAGTGATTAACCGAGCGACGAAATGTGCGTTCTCTAGATTCTACCCGCGGGATTTAGGAATGTTCTCTGGCCTCACGTGTCGCAGTGTGGAGTTGGCTCTGAACCCATGTCTCTGCGTGGGGCTCCCTTTGGGGTCCCGTGGCCCGTTCCTTCTTGGGTCAGTCACTTTTGCCTTGTTTGCCTTCATTTCCAGCCTTGGGCAGGTCTGCAGAGTTACTGGGGTTGGACTCAGCACAGCTCACGGATGCTCTGACGCAGAGGTCCATGTTCCTCAGGGGGGAGGAGATCCTTACGCCCCTCACCGTTCAACAGGTACACGCGCTTCGCCACCAAAACTCGTCTTAACAGATACCCCCGGGTTTTCAGATCCGTGGCTTTGATTCAAATGAGGCACTACAGCAAACCATTCAAAGGGGTTTGGTTCATGATCGAAAGAAAGAAGATACCCACGCCGAAGGGAATAGACCAGAGTTGTTCGTTTTCTTAGAGGTAGCGTAGCAGGGTGTTCCAGAGGACCGACCAGGCATGATGGAGGGTTCCTGAGTCCGAGTCCTGACATATTATTTTCTGTCCTTGGAGAATGCATTCGTTGTGTCTGTTTGCTCCTCTGTAAGGCAAGGGTAATTGTCATACCTAAGCCATAGGATTCTTGTAAGGATAGTAATAAATGTGCTAGATATGTAAGCACTAAATAAACACTAACCATGATTATTTGTTATTATTATGTAGTATTATGTATTTCTGCTTCTGTTACTGTCTGAAGCCACAGTTATATGTGCCAGCCCGTCTAATATCGATTTATTTTTTAAGTTTATTTATCTTAAGAGAGAGGGAGAGCGAGTTGGGGAGGGGCAGAGAGAGGGGGAGAGAGAACCCCCAGCAGGCTCCTCGCTGTCAGCACAGAGCCCCACGCAGAGTTCGAGCCCACGAACTGCGAGATCATGACCTGAGCTGAAATCAAGTCGGACGCTCAAACGACTGAGCCACCCAGGTGCCCCATGTTTTAAACATGATAAAACTTGTAGCTACCCATACTGGTTCAGATTCTTTCCTACAATTAACATAAAAACTTGAGTTTGAAAGCCTGATATTTCAAAGAAGTCTTAGTGATGGGCATCGAGGAGGGCATTTGTTGGGATGAGCACTGGGTATTGTATGGGAGCCAGTTCGACAATAAATTAGATTTAAACAAATAATACGAATGAAAGAAGTCTAGGTGACTCCTGCGTGTAGAGCGAGTGAGTGAGCTCCAGTTTACTCTTTCTTGAGACATCCGCGTCTTTCTGGGTGTCGGGTGCGCGGGTGTTCTTCCTGTTCAGTGTGTGTGCGTGTCCCCCGAGGGGCCTGGGATGGACTCACCTGCCTGGGCTTCCGCGGTCAGTGGGAGGCGGTGACCGTGTCCCCCTGTCCTGCAGGCAGAAGACAGCAGAGACTCCTTGGCCATGGCACTTTATGCGCGCTGCTTCGAGTGGGTGATTAAGAAGATTAACAGTAGGATCAAAGGCAAAGATGACTTTAAATCTGTTGGCATCCTTGACATCTTTGGATTTGAAAACTTCGAGGTATGCTTCTCATGGGTGGGATGCACGAATTTTTTTCTATCCACTTATTGACTGAACTCTCTTCACGTGAATACTGGTATTTTTCTCTGCAGACTTTTGTTTCTTCTTTGCCCTTTCTTCACCTTTGTATGTAATAGGAAGGGCACTAAAGATACGTGTTGAATGGTTCCCCCCCTTAGGTTAATCACTTTGAGCAGTTCAATATAAACTATGCAAATGAGAAACTTCAGGAATATTTCAACAAGCATATTTTTTCTCTGGAACAACTAGAATATAGCAGGTAAGAGCTCGTAGAATTCCATTTAAAGGTAAAAAAAAAAAATAAAAAGCCGTAAATTAGTTTTAAAACTCTATTTTATTATAACTTAGCCCTTTTAAATCTTTCCACAGGGAAGGATTGGTGTGGGAAGATATTGACTGGATAGACAATGGAGAATGCCTGGACCTGATTGAGAAGGTAACATTGTTGAAGGCTTGTTACCAGTCCCAAGGGTGTCCAGCTGGGCTGATTCATATTTATGGGAACAGAATAGCTTGTGCGAACATGCACATCAAAGACGTGAATGTTTAGAACACAATGGACCATTTGGAAACATACATGTAAATGTGCAAGGTTGAATTTTAATAGTTGGCTGCTTCAAACTTATTGTCTCATTGAACAACGTATTTTAGAATCAACAGTGTGTGAATTGGCTTCCCTTGGATTTTAAGTCAGCATCAAAAGCTTCGCCAGCACCAGGAGTAGACTGGACAGTGTAAAAGTTTTGTTCACAAAATTCTGGTGGGTTCCATTTTTCCATGTGTGTGTGGAAATTAAATTCTTTGGATGTCTTTATAGTATCATTCTGAATTTTTTTTTACCTTTATTTTGAGAGAGAGAGAGCGAGCGAAAGAGCATGTGTGTGCGCACACACACAAGTGGGGGAGAGGCAGAAAGATGGAGAGAGAGAATCCCAAGTAGGCTCCCCACTGTCGGGGCTGAGCCCTATTCGAGATCATGGCCTGAACTGAAGTCTGACTCATAACCGCCTGAGCCACCCAGGCGCCCCCTGAATTTTTTTAGTCCAAGAAATTTCTATGACTTTTCCTTTAACCACTTACTTGAGAGAGTAGAGAGGAAATATTTTGAGGTAGATGTTCAGCTTTGAATTCAATTTACCTTTCTTCTGTCTTCCAGAAACTCGGTCTCCTGGCTCTTATCAATGAAGAAAGCCATTTTCCTCAAGCTACAGACAGCACCTTATTGGAGAAGTTACACAATCAACACGCTGTATGTCAAAACCTGCCAATTCTTAATTATGTCTGAGTAGGAGATCTGTGGGTTAAGATTACACACAAGCTATTTCAGTGCTGTTGGCTCTCCTCTGCTCCCCACACGTAATTTTCTTCTCAAACCAAAGCTCTTCTCCAGTTGCTGGAACCAAATTGAAATCCGTTAAAGGGATAGATTTGGGGCTCCTTGTCAGAATATGCCCACATTCAGTTTATGAGTTTAGAATTTAACATCACTGCTGTGAGGCCAGGTAAGAGCTCCATGGTTTCGATAAAATTGCGTCACATGCTCTGTCCTCAACCTCTGCTCTGTGGTGGGCTTTGCGATTGTTTTCACTATCTCTGGTAGTCAGTTCTCTCTGGAGGTCTGTGCAAATCAGTAAGTGAAATTAGGCGCTTGTATTTTTTTTTTTTTTATTAGAATAACCACTTTTACGTGAAGCCTAGAGTTGCAGTGAACAATTTTGGAGTGAAGCACTACGCTGGAGAGGTAACTTCTTACTTGAGATCCTTGTGGGTATTTGCCCGTCTGGTACGTAGAGAAATAGCTGATTTCAGAAGCCAACATAAATATGTTGAAATGACTTCCTTCATGGGTCCGGCGTTTAAAGGGGATGCCTATAACCTGAAATCATTCTTTTGACCGACTGTATGGTTTTTCTTTTTCTTTTTCTTTTTTTTCTTTTTTTTAACCCAGGTGCAGTATGACGTCCGGGGCATCTTGGAGAAGAACAGAGATACCTTCAGAGATGATCTTCTCAACTTGCTCCGAGAAAGCCGGTATGTCGGTCTCCAACCCTGTATGTCATTAGCAAGCAAAGCATCCCTTGTGCAGATTTACAAACATAGAAGAAAATCAGTATGGAAGCAGCTTGGTTCACTGTGTTCTTTCATGGGCAATATTTCATTCATAAAATGACCTCGATGCAGAAAATAACATGAGTCGCACTGACCGCCATTTAACGAGGTACCGTAAGAAGAGCGTATCTATGGCGTAGATACTGTCAGTCCTGTTAAGCAGATGAGGGAAGTAGTTTGGGGGGCGGTTCAGGGCCTTGCCCACGAATGCACAGCTGGTTTTGATTTGCTCTGCTTGGGTCAAGAACAGAAGGCCTTGCCCAGGATGACCTTTCTCCTCAACAGGCCGAGAGCTCCGTGTTCAATTGCTTTCATCGTCTGCTCCGTAGGACCCGTGTGTCTCTAGCTGAAGGGATGTCAGGAAAAAACATCCATCCAGCTAAAATTACAAACTTCCACATGCATTGATTCGTGCACGAATCGTAAATCCATGCCCGAATCGTAAATCCATGCCCTTAAATCGGTAGTTGGTTAGCTTAGCTGCTTGTTGGAGGCTGTGTGAGAGAGAAAGGGGGAGAATCGCCCAGAGGGAAAGCTTTCGATACTTGTTTCGGATCCAGAGTGAATCTGTGACAGAAACATTTTTATTATCTAGGTTGGGAAAGTAGCACAATGACTTAGAAATCTGTAATACTTTTAGGAATGTCAACCCCATGTGGCTCCACTGTCACATAGACTGAATTGAGATGAAGGAAGCCCACCCACAGGGTCAGATAGGAGTTTAGAAATGGAAGGTATTTCGATTTGTTTGAGCTCTCCTGTGTGAAGATTCCCTGTTTACAACATTGGCAGCTATTTTTGCTTTTATTTTTTTTGTAATTTTTTGTAATTTAATGTTTATTTATTTTGAGAGAGAGAGAGAGACAGAGCACAAGCAGGGGAGGGGCAGAGAGAGAGGGAGACACAGAATCTGAAGCGGGCTCCAGGCTCTGAGCTGTCAGCACAGCCTGACTCGGGGCTCGAACTCACAGACCATGAGATCATGACCTGAGCCGAAGTCAGACGCTCAACTGACTGAGCCACCCAGGCATCCCAGCTGTTCTTTTTTTTAGATGAGTTTTCAGCTCTTTAAAAATGGAGATGTTCAGGGACGTCTGGCTGGCTCAGTGAGTAGAGCATGTGACTCTTGATCTTCAGGGGCCAGCAGGTTTAAGCCCAGTGAGACAAGTTTACTTTAAAAAAATATATATATATATTTACACATACATATATATATATATATATTTACACATACATATATATATATATATATATAGCTCACACACATACACACAATAATAAAATGGTGGTATTTTCTTCTCTCAATCTAATGGTACTTTTTTCTCGACTGTCAAAGCAATTTCTTGTGTTTAGATTTTAATTGATACATTTGAAATGACCTAGCTATTAAATAAAAGCATTTGCTGTGAGATCCACAGAGTGGGAGGTGCATAGGTGACACTTTGTGGTCAGCCTGGTCAAAGCAGAGATGGCTTTTGCTGAGTAAAAGAGTTTCTTTTCTTATTGCGGGCTTGTCTCCTGCAAAATTAAGGCTTCATTGCTTTTATCTGTGATCTTTGACTTTTGACATCTGTGCGCCTCATGGAAACAGAGTGGAGCTTTCCTCTGGCGCTCAAAGCAATTAAGAGAATCTCCTCAAAAGCATGCAATAGCACTCCTGGAATAAAAGGAAAAAGGATGGGCAAAGTGAGAGGTGACAGGGCTGCGCTTTGATGAGCCACCTCAGGAGGATGTGATCCTCAACATGTCGTCCTTCCGTTTTCCTGGTCTCAGTGAAGCTACTCATCCCCAGTCCTTCTGCCCAGAGCTGCTAGCGCTCCATGCAAGAAAGATGGGAGATCGAGGGGCACCGGGTGGCTCCAGCGTCAAAACATCCGGACCTACTGCTCCATCACGATCCATGATCCCGTGGTTCAGCCAGTTTGTCGGGCTCTGTGCTGACAGCTCTGAGTCTGGGCCTGTTTCCAGATTCTGTGTCTCCCTCTCTCTGCCCCTCCCCTCTTCCCCTGCTCTCTGCTCTCTCAAAGTAGTAAACCTGAAAACAAAAAAAACTAGTGAAGCCTTTTTACTTTTTTATTAGTAGGGCAAACTTTTATCAGACGTTAACAGCAACAAACTAACATGAGTGTTGGTGTGCCTTTACCGTGCTCACCTTTGTATACATTTTTCATTTTCATTCCCACCCATTCACGCCACATCAGTGTGGCCTCAACTTACCCCTCCTTTTGCAGATGGAAAAAATGAGGCTAAGTCAAGCAATCTGCCCTGGTCTGTGAGCTTGGAAGGGGTGAGGGGCAGGATGAAAACTTACTGTGTTTCACTGCAGATCTCACTTTTCCTTCATGTGAACTGGTTGGATCTTGAATACAGCTGAATGCTGACTCTCCTCCTATGGCCAGGCGCAGGTCAGAAAAGCATAGGTGGCACTTGGAAACAAGGCGCTCCTCGGCATGCGCATCCGGGTGACTTTCATCCGTCGTTTGTCTTCTGTAAGATATGGGCTAGAAGGCGTACCATTTCAGCCCCCCTTAAGCCTAAACCCCTCGCAGTGGGTTGTTTTGAAATCTTTGGAAGTTGTCTTAGCTCTTCCTGGACTCGATCTGTTACTTTCATCGGAAAGTGTGTTGTAATTATAGTAATCCAGCCCCTGATAACCGGGTGCGTGCCCCTCATGGCCCTGCTCCTCTCTGCTCACACAGATTCGACTTCATCTATGACCTGTTTGAACACGTTTCAAGCCGCAATAACCAGGATACCTTGAAATGTGGAAGCAAACATCGACGGCCCACAGTGAGCTCACAGTTCAAGGTTAGTCTGTCCTGCTGGCTTTCACGAATTTATGGGTGCTGTGATTTTAGGAATTGGAAACAAGGATTGCCGTCTGTGAGGTCCAGGAAAGCGTTTATTTTATTTTTTCTTTTATGTCACCAGATAGGGCTTTCGAAATAAAATCTACTTTTTCTGAGATGAAAACATGTAGGTTTTTGGTTTTTTTGTTGTTGGGTTTTTTTTTTTTTTTGTCTTGTTAAATAGCTGCCTGTTCTAAGTCGAAGGACTGGCCGTTTGGGGTCACCTTGATGTGTATTTAGAGGCTCGTATGAATATAGAGTGTATTTCTTCCCATGTTTGGTTTTTGTATTTTTCCCTGGTACGTTTACAGTATCGTAACTGGGAATAACGACTGAGCAAGCACGCATTTAAATAAGATCCATGTCAGTTACCTTGTCCAGATACCCAGAATTCAGGGAAATAGGGACCATTCCTACTTGCATTTTAAATATGTAGCCATTTTAGAAAGTTTAGAGGTAGAGCATGTGAAGACCGTTTTTGGAAAAAAAAAAAAATTTTAATGTCTATTTTTGAGAGAGAGAGAAACTGGAGCACAAGTGGGGGAGGGGCAGAAAGAGAGGGAGACACAGAATCCGAAACAGGCTCCAGGCTCTGAGCTGTCAGCACAGAATCTGACGCGCGGCACTCGAACCCATGAACCACGAGGTCGTGACCTGAGCCAAAGTTGGACGCTGAACCGACTGAGCCACCCAGGCGCCCCTGACCATTTTCTGACCTTAATCGTTCTGTTTTACCCCCAAGTAACAAATCCTAACAGGAAGAGAAAGAGAGGCATATGAGTCAATAGACATTTATTAAATCTGCCTTCAAAGAGTCTTTCACTTAGTTATTCAGAGTTGGATGCATCCGGTGGGGTTCTGTGTGAGGCCTGTTGTACAACGTAGTTGGCAATGAGCCAGATACGCACCAACCTTGCTAACAAAGCTGGATCATGAGATATGATGGGCAGGCTTGACCTAGGTAGGATATAATAAAAACAGTTGCCATGTGGGGGCACCTGGGAGGCTCAGTCAGTTAAACATCTAACTCTTGGTTTCGGCTCAAGGTCACGATCTCACGGTTTGTGAGTTTGAGCCCCATGTTGGGGCCCCATGCTGACAACGGGGCCTGCTTGGGATTCCCTCCCCCGCCCCTTCCTCTGCCCCTCCCCCACTCACACGGTATCTGTCTCAAATAAATTAAAAAAAAATAGTTACCATTTATTGTGTATGTATTATGTGCCAGTCACTAATCACTTCACGTATATGATCTGAGTTCATTTCTCCCATCTTATAAGTACATACTATTGTCCCCATTTTATAGATGAGGAAACTGAGGTTTGGAGAAATGGAGACCATTCAGGCCCTCTGAGGACTAAAGCTAGGATTTGAACTGTACCTGTCTGACTCTAAAACCTAGGTTTCTAATCCCCCAGTGGAGATGTTATATTACCTTTTTCTAGAGCAGTGTTGTCTGGAGTTGCCTTGGAAGGCTTTGTGGATATTTGGGGATTAAATTGCACTAGGAATCAAGGAAATGGCAGAGAGCGGTCAGGCCTTCCAGGTAGAGAGACTGAGCAGGAGGAGTCCTGAGGCAGGAACGTTGGGTCGTGTTCCCGGAAGACTGATTCGGTGAGGCCAGCAGACAGAATGTCTCATAGGGAGTTAAATTGGCACCAGAATATATATGAATATATATATATATGAAGGGCCACACATGCCAGGCCATTTGGTCACCTGTGAGAAATCCTAAAGCTTTCGAACCCGAGAAGTAACTAACCAATGTAGTGCCGTAGACAACCCAGTTTTTTCCACAAAATTGTAAGAAGAAAAAAGAAATGGAGGGAAACCCAGTGGATTAAAAGACTGAAAGACCCTACGTACAGCACAGGAACCTCATTTGCATTCTGATTTCAAGGAACAGACCAGTTAAAAATTATGAAATTTGAGACACTTGAGGATTTTTGTATGAAATCTGAGACACCTGCTTCTTTTAAGATTGAAATTAAGGAATTCTTGTTCAAGCTTTTTCGGATGATGCTATGGTGGTTACATACAGGTTTGGAAATGTTTAGCCTTTGATAACACATACTGAAATCTTGAGGGATGAACTAAAAACACCGTTTTCTACAAGGGCTGGGCGTAGGGTGTCCTCAGATGGGGATTGGATGAGACGAGATTAGCCATGAGCAGAAGCTGGTGATGAGTGTTCATTACGTGCTCTGTCTGCATTGGGAAACGTTAAAAATTCATCACAATAGCAACAAAAAATTTAAAAAATAATAATAAAGCGGTATTATGGAAGCTTGATCTGCCTGGTGACTTCAGGGTAAGAGTGAGAAAGTGTGAATTATTGGTACAGACTGTCATCTTAATGGAAATAATGAATTAGGAGGAAAAAACCTCCAGTGGGACAGTGCATTCAGCCCAGATTTTCTGTACCAAACATCGAAATAGCCCAGAGTTGCTTTCTGGTGGTTAACAGAATATTGGTTCCCCCCCCCCCCAATGATACTCTTCCAATGAAGTGACAAATGAGTTTTGTATATTGTGAAGTAATTTCAGTGACTATAGATTGTAGCACCTTGGCTTTATCTTATATGAGGATGACAGTGTTAAAACTTAATATTCCATTAATCAGAAAAAAATTATTCCTGTGATTTCTATTGTTTCTTCCTGTTTCTGAGGAGTGCCTGAGATGCTGAGAAATCTAAAGAATGACATAATAAGAGACTAAATCAACATATACTTTTTTCTTTCTAATAGGACTCCCTGCATTCCTTAATGGCAACGCTAAGCTGCTCTAATCCTTTCTTTGTTCGCTGTATCAAGCCAAACACGCAGAAGGTAAGATTTACAGCAGCGCTAGACTGAGGCTGTGTCTTTAAGGACACCGCCTCCCGGGCACTGTCTGTAAAGCCCTTTCATCATAGAGGGTTGGGAGCATATATGACATTATTATAACCTAACATTAAATAGAAAAATTCCCTTTGTCTCCTGGGCCTACTTCTCTGCTTCTGAATGATGCCATTAAGCTTTAGAGAAATCTAGTTTAAAAGGAAACCTTGTGAAACCTTCACAATTTTTTTTTTTTTTTTTTTTTTTTTTTTTTTTTTTTTTTTTTTTTTTTTTTTAAGGATTTGGTTTGAAATTCTTGGGCAGCTGTCTCTTATGGAAGAGATGGTTGGTGTATGTTTTGTGGTTGGTTTAGTTTTTCATTTTGCTTTCTTGTTAAGCATGATGAAGGGTCTGTATTCCAAGCAGCGGTGCTGACTTTTTTAAGGACTCTGACCAGGTAGTCATGCCTAATTTGATAATTCCTGATAGAGCGTCATCGTGTGTTTTCATGGGTAGACGCTGTGAATTTAGTGTTTTAATGCCATAGCCTGATGAGAACCAATATGAGTGTTACAGGAAGCTGTCTGAACGAAGAAAATTTAGTAATCAATGTATGTCATTGCTGAATCCAAGACTAAATGGGAAACTAGCCGTCAAATGTTGAAAAATAGAAATTGTCTTGCTTTGGGAAACATCAGCTCTTCGTAATCTCCCCGAAGAGAGGAAAACCCTCCACAAGACAGTAATGTCAGCAGCCCCTCTTGTTAAAAAACTAAATGCTGTTCTCATAAGGCGTAAGAGAAGCAGTCTGACCTAAAACTGTTTCTCTTGAGACTTAGGTTATATTCTAGTAATTTTGCTGATACTAGATCTTGTTGTTTACCTTGTTTCCCAGTTGCCCTTGACTTACTATTAGTGGTTCCTCATTTATAGTTTAAAGATGTTCATGGGCGCCTGGGTGGCTCAGTCGGTTGAGCGTCAGACTTCGGCTCAGGTCATGAGATCACGGTCCGTGAGTTCGAGCCCCGCGTCGGGCTCTGGGCTGACAGCTCAGAGCCTGGAGCCTGCTTCCGATTCTGTGTCTCCCTCTCTCTCTGACCCTCCCCCATTCATGCTCTGTCTCTCTCTGTCTCAAAAATAAATAAACATTAAAAAAATTAAAAAAAGATGTTCATAAGAACCACGATACTGAACTCTCTGTCTTCTAGGAAGGTAAAAATGGATGCTGCTTGTAAGGACAAGTAACCTGTTAAGTTTGCTATCTCACTATGAGCCCATGATGGTGACAATTTGGTATTTGTGTGGCATAAAGCAGCCGACGGAGACTGGTCTTACATGGAAGATCTGTGCCTCTGTTCTGGTGGTTTAAAAAAACAGCTCACCTTTCCATGTCTCGAATTTATATTAAAATGTTTTAGATTATCACAGAAAATGGCAGCATAAACAATATGTAGTTTTTGGCCATAACGTAGGAAATTACTAGTTAAAACCTAGCAAGATGTCACGCCAGCTGTTTTCTATTTCTCTTTAATTTTTTTTTTTAACGTTTATTTATAATTGAGAGACAGAGCATGAGCATGGGAGGGGCAGAGAGAGGGGGAGACACAGAATCGGAAGCAGGTTCCAGGCTCTGAGCTGTCAGCACAGAGCCTGATGCGGGACTCAAACTCACAGACCGCGAGATCGTGACCTGAGCAGAAGTCGGACGCTTAACTGCCTGAGTCACCCAGGTGCCCCTATATTTCACTTTATAACCTCAATAGGCAGTTTTTACGATATATATGGACTTGTGATTTGGGTCTATACATACTCCCAGGAGCTGTGTAACCTCTCTTACTTTTCCTCTTTACACAACAGGGATAATAATACCGTATTTCATCGTTCAAAGAGGCTGTTTGTTCCCAATTTAAGGACTTGGGTACTGGGGGTGCATTTTACAACTTCTGGCGAGCAATAGTTTAATTGGGAGCGCTGTTCCTTTCTCAGGGGTATGTGTAACATAATCATGCAGGTTTGTAGGCGTCGGTGTCTTAGATTCAGTAAAATGGGGACCTGCCATATGTCAGCACTGTTACAAGGAGAGAAATTTGAATTTGAAAAACATAGTCCCACATGTATTTGTTTTCTTTCTTGGGTGACATGGAGTTTTTCCTTGAAATTGTAATAGCTTTTGAAATTAGGCCTGCTTGAGCAGTCTTCAGCAGGCAGAATATTGAAGAGATTACCTTTTACTGATGTTTATTTCTTTCTTGCTGGGATGTGACTGTCCCTAATTGCTTTGGTTTTTGCATTTAAAGAAATGAGCCAACCCAACCTCATGTTTCATAAGTACTTCTCACAGTCTTCCCATCAGCTGTTCTGTGGCAGAAACTAATTAATACTCACCAAGAGTTGGACCGTAGGAGACTTTGGAAAAACATCTCGGTACCATTTCAGATGCACCCAGAAAGTGAAGGCACAGACACGTGAACCTTCTGGTCTGAGGCCCAAGACGTAGGTGTGATTTTAAGTGCGAAGATGCTAATTAGAATCTGGAAATCGTTAATTATGGCTTGCTTAGCATTCATTTGGTTCCACTGAAAATATCTGAGTGCTCCTGTTGATGATGTTATATGAAATGTATGTAAACAACCCTCATCTGGAGTTTATTGTGAGCTTTCTTTTGTCCTAAGATCAGTGCTTCTAGAAATCTCACGGGGAAAATCTTGCCAGCCTTTGCCCCATAGAAGAGGAGTGTATATTTCTGGCATGAAGGGATGAGACCATGTCTCTTACTTCATACCCTTTTCTGGTCATTTGCTCCTTAGGGAACCTTCAGAGGATGTATTCGAACTTACGTATATGGAAGTATTTTGTGCTTCATTAAGGAACATGGGTCATAGGTTTGGGCAGATTCTAGAGGGTTCATTTTTGACAACTCTATGACCAGAGGGATAAAGGCAGTGGCCTTCAAGTCTGTGACCTAAAGAAATGTGGCCTTGTGCTTTTGGGAGCATATCCAAGATTACCATGGTGGCCTTGTGAATGTGAGTACACGCCCAGTGGGCCCCAAGCTTGCAGGGCAGGCTGCCTCCCCTCCTTGGCAAATGCATGAAGCTCAGAGTGGGTCCTTGGGCCTAAAGCATTGGGAAATCCTTTGCTGGAAATATTACAGGGTTTTTGTTACTTGGCACTTTTGTGTTTTGCTTTGAAGGCCAAGTGCAAATGGGGAGAATTGGACTGAAATGCTAGGACATTATGTCAGGTCAGCTGTAATAATTGTGGACTTTTTGTCACGCGCAACATGAAGCTGATCTTAGGCGTTGTATAAAAGACATTTCACTCGCGTTGAGGAATCCTGGGGCTAAGTCACAAGGTGAAGTTGAAAAAGCCTACCTCTTAGACGATGGAGTATTACTCAGCCGTAAACAAAGAATGAAATCCTGCCATTGGCTAACGACGTGGATGGAGCTGGAGTCTGAGGCTAAGCAAAATATGCCTGAGAAAGACAAACACCGTGTGATTTCACTCCTATGTGGGATTTAAGAAACCAAGGAGCAAAGAGAAGAAGACAGGCGAGCCAAGAAGCTCTTGCCTGTAGAGAACCAACTGTCGGTTACCAGAGGGGAGGTGGGTGGGGGATGGGTGAAATAGGTGATGGGGAGTAAGAAGCACGCTCATGGTTGTGAGCACTGGGTGTAGTATGGAAGTGGTGAATTGAAACCGACAGAACGCTGTGTGTTAACTATACTGGAAGTAAAATTTAAAATAAAATTACAAAGTAAGCCCCCCTCCCCATAGGGGGTAGTGAGCGGTCAGTTCTCTGGCTTACACATAGCACTGAAGGATGTAATCTTCTCCTTGACTTAGAATTGTGGCGTTTCCAAGGGGCAGAGTTCTCCATGAGACAGTTTTTAGTTGGCAATGTAGCCTGTTAGCTTTTGTCTGTTGTGGCTTTTGAGGCAGTGGTAGTTTCTGGCTCAGAGGGTCCAAACCAACAGCAGATTTCCGTAACAAAGGAAACCTGCCTTGCTTCATCAGAATTTCTCCCCAAGGGTGTCCCAAGGCCTGTGATCTCTCCCCTCTCTCCCCGCCTGGTATTTTAGCAAATAAGTTCTAGTCAGAAAAGTCTGTCATTAACATTCCTCAGAAAAACCCTGAGGAGGTGCAGGACAGAATTAAAGAAGGGAACGGACTGATAAATATCAGGAAAACCTTCGGGGGTGTGAGCACTGGCTGTCTGCAGTTCCCAGGCTCCCATGGGAGGAAAGCGAGGCCACTTCCTGCAGACGCTGTGGGCTGTCACTTGTCAGGAACGTGGCTGGCCGGCCGTCCTCACCGTTCCTTCTGCAGTTGTGAGCTGAGGAGCCCTCGCCTTCCAAGGTGGGGAAGCCTTCGATTCCTGCAGCATCCTCTTCAAGCTTTTAACCCAACGTAGCGGCGTCCTTAAAGATTCTGTCAGAGTCTCCTCCAAAAAGGCAGGACTTGGGTCACCTGAATCTCCCCAAGGCCGGTGGCTGGTGGAGGAAGGCTTCTAGCCAAGCTGGCTGCTTGGAGGGAGGTTTTCCTAAGGGAAGAGGGGAAGAGTGAGGAGAGGGATGTCCATGCCAAGGGAAGGCTGGAGACCAGGCCCCAGGGAAGGGAAACCATGGGGTCTGTGAGGGAGGACTGCAGTCATATTTGCTGGACATTGGAATATCCGGTGGGAGTACAGAGCGGGAGACACAGGGTTAGCCTGACCGTGGTGGCTTGTCTGGAAGCACTGTCTGTGTACCCTGAGACACATGGACCTATCAGCCTTCTCACACAATCGTCTTTCAAAGACTGGAGAGGATGCCGTGCTTTGCACTTCAATGAATCCCGATGACCTGTGTCCCTCTCTTTCATGGTGCCACCATTGATACCAGACTAGATTCCCCAGTTGGACGACACCGGAGACAGGCTGGGACCGCACAGGAAGTGAGAACAGTGTGCAGGCGTTACGAGAACCTAACCCTCTGCTTCCAGAGGCATAATGATTCGATGAATGA